CTTTTCCAACCTAGATGATTCTATGATTCTGTGATTCTATGTATTTTATTTAGTAACCCAGGGTTTTGAAGGTGGGTGCTTGTCTGACTTTAATCTAAAGATCAGCTTGGTTTATATTTCCAAAAATGTTAATCTTGTTAACATTTCTATTGACTTCAACTTACTTGAAATTCTCTCTGCAGTCTGATGCTGGAAGTTTTATGCCCTGCTGTTAAACAGTTACACTATGAAAAGCATTCTCTTTAGTGACTATCATGTTAGTGACTGTCGTGTTAGTTTATAAGGATTATTCTCATACTGTTTTCATTACTTTGTTCAAGGAGGAAGGTGACATGGTTAACTAGCTTTGACAACTTCACACTACTTTCTTGACTTGCAAATTCTGTTGAAGAACACTTAGAACAAGAATAAACAATACTATGGAGGGGATCATAAATTCTGTTACTGAGAGGTGTTTCATATTGATCCATGTATTGCTCTAGTGGTCCTCAGTAAATCATTTCTCTTAAGTCAGCATGTATCTATTACATAAAAAGTTATTTTCTTCAATGGATTTATTGTCATTCAGGGACTTACGTTCAAAACAGCAAGTGTGGATAAACTTGTGAGCAATTCTGACAATCAAGCTTTTAATGTTCACCAGTTTTCATGATATGTTAAGAGTTTTAATGTGTAAATAGTCATTCCAGATTCTGCTGCAAAATTTTAGACTTCTGTTCATTTGTTCTACTCTGTAAATTCAGTATTACTAAGTTAGTATTTAATAAAGTTGAGGTGTATTAGAATAATGCTACTGGCATTTTTTTCTGTCTGTAGATGGAGATGAGAATGTTCTGGTGACTCCAGGTTAAATTTAACCAAGATTTTATTCTGATGGTAAATCTCGGATATTTACTCATAGCTAATTTTACAATATCTAAGTCTTATTTTTGAGACCTCTATATTCTTTACAGTTTTCATGCCCTCTATGCAGCGAGGTATTTCTTAATCTAATGTATGTACTTTGAGTGCAGCATGAAAGATTTGAAAGACATGAGAAGGGCAAATATTGCAAAGTGGTGGAGTTGCAGAGATAAAATTGTAGCATTTCCATTTCCTCCTGCTTAGTAGACTTTTGTGACATGATACTAATTTTTAAAATTCTGGAAGTTATATTAGGAGGAATGGGAAATTTTACCTTCACCACAGAATGGGGAAGAAAAGCATGCAGGATGATCAGGGCTTAGGAAAACAGTTTTATAAAAAAGATTTGCAAAAGAATGCTCCAGCTGAAATTAAAGCAGTGGGAACATAATGATTTTACTGAGAACGAACGGTGGTTTTGGCAAAGCAGATCAGGAGTTCTTTGTTCTTTAGTTGCAAGGCAGACTACAGGAATGGTCAGTGAAATGCTTTGAGGGGGGAAAGAAGCAAACACTATTGACAAAGTTAAACCACTCATAAATTGCATATGCATGGGTCTCACTGCCCTGGGAAATCAGTGCAAGTGTGAGGCCAAGATTTTGGTAACATGGAAAAAAAAAAAGGTTTCTGTAAAGATGATGATGGTATCCAGCATGGCTAACAATTTTGAAGAGGATATTAAACTTCATGCTTTGAGTCTTAAATCAGTATCTGTCCATGTCCATTAGGAAGAGATGCAATATGTGAAATGTGGCATCCACATCTGTACCATTCTCTGGTGTCTGATGCCAGCCAGCAGTAAATTTTGGATATTAAAGTGGACCTCAGATGCAGTCCTGAATGACAACTTGTTACTAGTAAATATTCTTTAGTGAATGACGCATACTGTCTCTCCCATGATTAAGCATTCCGAAACTGAAATAAGCACAAAATTAATTTATTAACATGTTATTTGAGAACGTATCTTCTTTAGTTAGGGGGGTTTGTCCCTCAAAAGCCCACATGTAAAAGGGACCAATGTAGCACTATCTTGAGTGTTTCTGTGTGATTTTTCAGAACATTGCTGAGAACAAACAATTAGCAATGAGTTGGCAATGAACTAACTTGAGAGGCATTATTTATGTGTTTTACATTATAAACCTTTCATCTTAGAAGCTGCTTTGTAAAGCTACTGTCGGGTGTAAAAATTTAATAATACCGGCTACACTTGAGAGATATTTTTTTTTGTTATTGTTTTTTATGTTTGTTTGTTTTAACCTCTTGTGTTCCTTGTATTTAGCCACATATCATTAACTGTATTTAGAAAGCTCTCAGTTGCTATTAGCAGTGAAACTATAGTCTATATTGCTTTTTTTAAAAAAAGTGTCTTATGTGAGTTTATAGGTAGCTGTTCTTGCAAGTCAATATGATCAGTGCTGTCTGTTCCATATTACATTTTTCATTTGTCTAAGTTTCCGATGTTAGAGCTGAAATTCTTCATAGTAGAATTTGTTCTTAGTGGTTGGACTTGATGATGTTAAAGGTCTTTTCCAACGTAAATGATTCTATGGTTCTATTTCAGTTTTGTTTGCTAACAGTGTGTCAGTAGAAGTTACATATGTTCCAGGGGTTTGTGTGTTGAGAGGAGGGTCTATATTTGTACACATTAAGGGTGCAGAATAATTGCTGGAAGAACTTCAGGGTTCCTTTTCCCGTTTAGGGAAAATGAGTTGCTATTCTGGCATCCAGTATGATGGGTTTTATGATCTTTTTTGGAAATACCTTGTATTTTACTATATTTTTTAAAATCATGTTTCTGTGCTTACATATTACTATGTAAATAAAAACTGCGTTTCCATGTAGGAGATAATACCAACCACCAACATCCAAAAATAAGGCTAAGGATTGATGGCATTAGAATGGTACACAGGAAAACAAACACAAGCTTTAGAGAACCATTTTAAAACTAATTATTCAAGTATATGCAATATTTAAATATAGCAAAAATACAAAGCTTTCTTTCTTCCCCCTCTTTAGAGTTGATCTCTCCAATGTCTTGGACCTGCATGCATTTGACAGTTTATCTGGAATAAGGTATGGTGATAATTTCACTGTCTTTTATTAGAAATAATGTCTATTGTGTAAATACATGCATGAAATAGACACCCTCAAATCCTGGCTCAAATTTGCATCTGAGTTTCTGTTAGAAATTCTAGTTTAGTCACTTATTTAAAATTTTCGGTTTGTAAGTGGTAATCTGAGACTGAGAATTTTGTCCACTTGAAATGTGTGCAGCAAAAGCTTTTTGACTTTGTAAAGTGAAATGAGCTGGAGTGTGCATAGTTGGTTGGCTTTTTTTCCCCAAATACGTGTTGCTTCAATAGTAGTAGTAGAGCAGATTTGTACAGTCTCTTCTGGTTCTCTTAAAACTTAAAGGATTTCAGTATTTTTCTTACTTCACATCATGATGAACTGGAGGCCTCCTTCATTTTCAAAGAAAACAATGAGGGACTGAGGTTCCACAACAGATGAAGCCACTGCAAATTCTGGTTACTGTGTTCCTGTTGGTTTTTTTGTTTTGTTTTTCAAGGCCAAATGTGAGTTTGGCATGTTAGATTGGTGGAAAAATAAAATTGGAGGTGAGGGGAGAAGGGCTTTCTGTTCACTTTGCGTGCTGAAATTGTTCAGTGAAGAGAGCAAGGAGTACTGGGGCCATCATAAAGGAAAGGAGGGAACATGCAACTGGGGGCCGTATGAGCTTCATTTTTCTTCCTGGATGCACACTGTTCACTTCAGGTAAAGGAACGCAACCACTTCCTTATTCACAGAAGGGAGAAATTGCAGAAGATGCAAGCTTGTAGCCTCTAGTAGATGAGATGCGCTCATGAGATTTCCCAATGAACTGGTGCAGTACTATCCAAAGGATAGCCTGCTTTTCCTGACTCGGCTGCCCTTTCTTTTTGCTAGCACTGTCTTTTGTCTGCTTTATGAAAATAGGATTTGTTTCTTTTGAGCTCCTTGAGTGTACCAGTCAGATCTGTACCAATGGCAGCATCAGGGAGGTATCAGAATAGGCATCCAAAAGAAAGTTAAGGGTGGACGAAGGCCAATATATCCTTTATGGCCAATGGATAACTATTAGGTCATAAACCAGATCATAAACCCATGTCCTGAGTTCTTGTGATGGATCAGCTAGCTAAAATGCCTCATCCTGGAGCCACACAGTAGAGAGAAAGCTGTAAGATGATGTGAACCAGAAAAGGGTCATTCTTGACAATGGCAATTCACAGTTAGATCTGATTAGCTGTAATATTACATGGCATTCTGCAAGGTTTACTAAGAAGTGCTGTGCTCTGCAGATCAGAGAAAGTCCTTAATGAGCTGACAAAAAAAAAAAAAAAAAATCCTTCTTTGTTTCCTTGGTCTAGTCTTTTCTCTCCTATCCTTTAGAGGTTCTCAATGTTTCGTATTAAAACAGAGGAAACACTCTAAAATTGCAGCATTTAAAGATAAATTCTAATAGCACCAAGAAGGTTTGAAACTGCTTTAAATGAAGTTCCATTTCTTTTGATTTTATTTGAGCTCTGTACAGTGAAATTTTGCTCAGAGCTCAGTTGGGAGGGATTCCATGGGAAGCTTCCATGGAGGATAAAGGAGATAGCCAGTGTTGGGAGTTTTTCAAGAATGCTGTCCTGCACAAAACCAGTTCATCTCCTTTAAAGGTAAGGGAAGTAGGTGGAGCAAGAGACCCCTTGGCTTAACTGTGAACTTCTGTGTCTGCTTGAAGCTGAAAGAGAAGTATACCAGAGATGGAAAAGTGGACAAATACCTGTTAAGAACTACAAGGGCATTGGCAGTGTATGCAGAGATGCAGTTAGAAAAGCAAAAGCTCAGCTTGAATTGAAATTGGCCAGAGATGTCAAAAACTACAAGAAAGGGTTCTTCAGGTATGTGAACAACAAGCAGATATTGATGGGCCCTGACAATATCCACCCAAGGATGTTAAGAGAGCTGGCTGATGTCAATTGTGAGGCCGCTCTCCATACTCTTTGAGAAGTTGTGTAGATCGGGGGACATCCCAGAAGTCTGGAAGAAGGCTAATGTCACCCCCATCTACAAGAAGGGCTTAAAGGAGGATCCAGGAAATCATAGGCTCATCAGTCTTTCTTCAGTCCCTGGGAAAGTTACGTAACTAATCCTCCTTGGGGCTATCACAAGTCAAATGAAGCACATGATTGGGAAAAGCGAGCATGGATTCACCAGGGGCAAGTCATGCTTGACAGACCCGATCACCTTCTACGACAAAGTAACCGCTCGGTTGATGTGGGGCGAGCGGTCAACATTGTCTACCTGGATTTCTCCAAGGCTTTCTATATGGTTTCCCACAGCCTTCTCCTAGAGAAACTGATGTGTTAGGGTCTAGACAAGTAGTCTGTGCAGTGGGTGGGGAACTGGCTGACAGGCCGCACACAGAGGGTGGTGGTAAATGGTTCCTTTTCAGCCTGTCAGCCTGTCACAAGTGGGGTCCCCCAGGGATCAATATTGGGCCCAACACTGTTTAATATCTTCATAAGTGATCTGAATGATGGGACCAAGTGTACCCTGATGAAGTTTGCCAATGACACCAAACTGAGTGGGGAAGTGGACACTTTGGAAAGGAGAGCCACCCTGCAGGAAGACCTGGAGAGGCTGGAAGAGTGGGCTAACGGGAACCTTATGAAGTTCAAGAAAGACAAATGTAAGGTCTTGCACCTGGGAAAACATAATCCAGGACTGCAGCACAGTCTGGGATCTATCCGGCTGGGGAGCAGCTCTGTGGAAAGGAACCTGGGGGTCCTGGTGGACAACAAGCTCAACATGAGTGAACAGTGTGCTGCTGTGGCAAAGAAAGCCAACAGGATGCTGGGTTGCTGCAACAAGGGCATCATCATCAGAGGTAAAGAAGTCATTATCACACTCTACTCCGCTTTTGTCAGGCCATAGCTGGAATCATGTGTTCAGTTTTGGTCCCTGCTGTGCAAAAAAGATGTGGACAGGCTGGAGAGGACCCCGGGAAAGGCCACAAAGACAATGAAAGGACTGGGAAGCCTGCCACATGAGGAAAGGCTGAGAGAACTGGGTTTGTTCAGCCTTGAGAAAACAAGGCTTAGGGGAGACTTTATCACCATGTTCCAGTATTTAAAGGGTGGCTACAAAGAAGACGGAGACTCCCTTTTTACAAGGAGTCATATGGAAAAGATGAGGGGTAATGGGTACAAGTTACTCCTGGGGAGATTCTGATTGGACACGAAGAAAATTTTTCACAATGAGAACAATCAGCCATGGGAATAATCTCCCCAGGGGAGTGGTGGATTCCCCAACATTGGCCACTTTTAAGCTTTGGCTGGACAGGGTGCTGGCCCATCTTGTCTAGACTGTGCTTTTGCCGAGAAAGGTTGGACCAGATGATCCTTGAGGTCCCTTCCAACCTGGTGTTCTATGATACAGTATTTCACTTAGTGTTGCAGTTTTCATTCTCACAAGCAACAGCTTTGTACATTTTTTTTCTTCTTGCTTTTCAAATTATTCTTCTAAAGTATTTTCAAAAAATCAACATCTAATAAATAGATTCTAGTGTTTTTTCCCTTCTTGCTTTAATGATGTAGATTGCCTTTTGTTCCTACAGAAAGGAATATCAAGGGTATTGTACTTCTTGAAGTATAAGTATTTTAAATCCAAAAGATACTGCACATCATTATTATAGTTGTTTATATTTTAAAAACCTAATATTCTAACACAAATAGTTAATTAGATCAAACCAATATAATTAAACATACCTATTTCAAGATTAAAACTGAATTAACATTTGACGCTTATTCTGAGTATACAGTGTATCTTTGACATTTTAGTTTTGCTCTGCAATACTGAAGAGTTTATTTAAATTTTGAAATAGTGACATTTTGTCCATCCTACTCAAATGCGACATTTAACTTTACTTGTTTCAGTTTGCAGAAAAAGCTTGACCATATAAAGACAACACATGCACATCTAGATAAGGTAATTACCAAAACTACTGCTTCAATCTTTTTGTAACAGCGAGGTTGTTCAGGGTAATTGCAAGCATTGCATACTAATCATGTTACCTTTTCAGAAGGTTTCCAGTAGGGAGTAATGTGTTTTAAGATCTTTAGAAGATTACATTGAATACATACAGGAATGTGCTTTGTTGTAGGTAGATTGTAAATGCATATAGTAAGTCTTTCACAAATAACTTACAGGCTTCCACTGGTCCAGACAGTCACATTGTTTATTGATTCACACGGACAGTGTTACTGAAACTGATAGATAGCACTGCTCTTTTTAATATTTGCAGAATCAAGTCCTAAATTTGTACCCAGTCTTTATCCTGTAGGTCTTCTGTCCAAATGTTGTCTGTGTACATAGATATCAGGGAGATGTTATTCATAACTTTGCATTCTTTAAAGCTGTAATAAAACTTCACTAAGTAGTTAAGCATGTGTAGATCTCCACTCTATGAGTGCTTCCCATTGTTTTCACAAGAAATAGTAACAATTTAGCTTGTAAGTGTGGTAGATTCTGCCCTATAAACTAGGTATCAATCCAGTAAGCATGCATATGCTAAAAAAAGTAGTTCTGTTATTTTTAGTATGTCAAATTAAACTCTAAAACGTATACCTGCCCACTCCACCTGCCCCCGGTACTCAACCCAGTGTGTGTTTATATCGGGGCAGAATCTTTTCTCTCCCTGTGTGCAGTACAATGATGCCAGCATAATGCAACTGCAAATAGCATTTCTGCCTTTGTAGCTTCTGAGAAAATACAATATTTTTTGTGATCAGCATATCTAATTTCAGAGGTGAATTTAAGGAAAATGGGTCTGGTCCACCATGCCTACAGAATAGGACCGTTCTGTGCTAATTGCTACCTTAAGCACCTATCTTGTCCATGATGTACAGGTTTTACTAGAAAGGCTCCCTTTTAATTTTCTTTTTTTGTTTGTTTTCCAAATGTCATGATAGCAGTCTCTTTTTCTGCTTAGACCCTTCTCAAAAGCAGAACAGTCTTAAGTCAGGTAATTACTGAATTTATTACCGGGCAACAAAATCTTATAATTACTGATTTGAGTACGGAAAAAAAGAAATGCAGAACAATTACACGAACACTTACATGAACACCTCTTCTTCACTCTACCCAGCTTGCCCTGTTTTTTGCAGTGGCTTACACTTAGTCCATCCAAGTTCTCCCAGCAAGGCCACATGTGGCATAGGAAGTCGGGGGTGTTTGTGTAATAATTTTCTGTTCCTCGTTACTGCTCTGCTCCTTAAGGTTCCTTCCTTGTGGTTCACGCAGGGCCCTTAGTACCCGTGGAGTGCTCCTGCTCTGTGGGTAAACAACAAGCTGTGGTCTCTCAGGGGTGTATGTACCCCTTTGGTATGGCATGGCATGGCACGCCTCCTCCAAAGAGTCTTCATTCCCAAGTGGCTGGAGGTGTCTGTCTCTCTAACAGGGTGCCATGTGTTTCTCTGCCTGAAGATATGTGGAATTTTTTTTTTTTTTACTGTTGTATGGTTTCAGAGCTGGCTAGAACGGGTTGTGAGACACACCAGGCAGCTGATGGCCTCCTCCCACACCCCTCAGAACTGCAGCCCCCTGCTACATAAGCCTTGAAAGCTTACACAGACTTAAAGAGCTGTATGAACATATATGGGTTGTAGACTCTACCTGTAATATCATCAGAAACTGAATGTACACCTAGAACATATTCCACTCCTTGCCACTGAGAGTTAGACTGTAGGGGTTAATGTTGTAGCAGTCTGAATATACATGTTAAAAATTGTTGTATTTAACCTCCATCTGCTGCCAAACAGATGATGGAGGTTAGTATCGTTAAGGGTTTGAATTTACACGTTTCCATTATAGACTCCACCCTTCCGTGTAGATAGTAAGGTTAGCATTACTTACTGGAAAATGCACACCTTGTTCCTGCAAAACACCAAAGCAAGACACTTGGATGTTTAATTTACTCACCATGTCTTAGTATACAAGCAAATATTCAAGCAAGCAATTAGACAGTAGAACCACAGAGTAGCACTGCTATTGAATATCCAGTTGGTTTCTGAGTCCAACAGCTGTAGTTTCATCCAAAACCAAAATGTGTGGTGACCAGTGTTCATTTGGTATAACCTGGACGCTTCCCCAGTAGGAAAGTAAGACGATGCATCAGATGACTTAGATTTCCCAGAGCCTGCTTCACATCTTATAACCATATTAACTGAGCTTTGACCTTTCTGCTGAGCTTGTTACTCCTTAGCTCCCAGATGTAGGTCTTTGAAGGACTTCTTTTCCACTTTCCAAATCCCAATTTGTAGGGTGGGAGCGTGGAGATTTTTCATCCTCTCCTGACACTTTAACAGCTGCAATTTCATCATGCTTTGCCATGAGGCTGATCTCACACCTGCCTCTGGAATGATCCCCCCAGTATGATACTCTAGATCACTCTTTGATCAATGGGATGTCCCACCAGGTTATCAGGTGGTACCAGAGGGACAATAGTGACTGTGCGTAGCTGTCAGAGCTTTTGATCTGTGGCCTCAGCCTTTTTGGGGTCCCTTGCCTGTAAACACAGCAGGAGTCAAAGTGCTCACAGTCCACTGCCCCTTCTTCTCGGTCCCTCCACAAGGGTCTTGTTTGTGGGATTGGAATGATCGAGCTCAGCATACCCCTCCATCAGTAAATCCCAGAGTTTCCTACTTTTGCAAGTGCCTTTCTCCAGCTTCCCAGCACCACCAGAGCCACTGCAGAAGCAACTTCTGGGAACGGCAGCCATAAGTGCACTGCTTTAGTACTCTGAGTAAAAGGTTGCAGAGTGGTTGCACTTTGAGGAGTGGTGCTCCCATTTCTGCAGCACTATTACATGGGCTGCCTTATAGGACTCTTAATTTTAAACTGGCTTACTGTTTCCACAGTATATTGGATGGCTTATCACACAGCTTTCCCTTTGGCCAGTTCAGTGTTACCACCTGCTAAGTTTTGATTCAGGGTTTGTCACTCTTGCTGAGCACTTGCTAGTGCATCTTTTAGCAGACCGTTAGTCTAACAGTGACTGTCAGTCTGATGGTGATGAATTGTAAGTGGTCCTGACTTTTGTCAGGCTCTATTTGAAGCATATGATAAACTCTGGCATACCCCCACACCAAAGCAGCACGTATTCCAGTGTTTTACAGGTTGCAGTTGTATCCCTTTTATAACTCCTGGGCTGATCTTTTGGATGCTGCCCTAGGGGACTGTTAAGGTCCTATGCCATGGCTGCATGGGCTTGAAGCTGGCACCATCCTGTGTCTTCCCAGTCATCTTCCTGTCCCACTACGGTTTTTCAGGTCCCTACTTTTTCCAACAGCATATACGTTGTCTGCATGCATCCACACACGTGACGGCTGTGCCACTCACACCGGAATATACAATTGCAGATTCCCAGTACCAGAACCAAGGCTCCTTCTGCATTCCCCAAGTCATTGCAGTAATGTCACGAGAGAGAGACCCCACCTGGAGCACTGCATCCAGCTCTGGGGCCCCCAGCAGAAGCAAGACGTGGACCTGTTAGAGCAGGTGCAGAGGAGGGCCACAAAAATGATCATAGGGGTGGAACACCTTTCCTGTGAGGAAAGGCTGAGACAGTTGGGGTGATTGAGCCTGGAGAAGAAAAGGCTGCGGGGAGACCTTACTGCAGCCTTTCAATACTTAAATGAGGCTTATAGGAAAGACAGACTTTTTAGCAGGGCCTGTAGTTTTGTGTGGTAGCTTTCTGCTCCTTTTTGCTTCTTAGTGGTTTTGTCACTGCTCTGTTCCTTAAGTGTCCCTGGTCCATGGGTCCTAGCCCATATACAGGTACCCTGCTCTGTGGATGAGTCATGGGTCACAGTCCTCTCCAGTGTATCCTCAACTGGGTGCCGTTCACCCATGGGCATCAGTCCCCTCAGGTGCTGTAAAAAAAGAAAAAAACTTGTATTTTTATAAAGTAGCTTAGAAAAGTGTACTTTCCTTCTAGAAAGTTGCTATGATTAAATTTAATTTTCAAGTTAAAATATGATGTCTACAATGTCTGTATTTTTCTTTTGAACTGCAAATCTTGACTGTGAAGTTGCTAGTCCTGAAAACAGCAAAAGGCAATTATATTCTCCTTTCAGAACTACAGATTAAATACAAAATCAGTTTCATGCTTAGCTATAATTGCAATCAGAATCTTAAGTTCATAGTTCAATTAAAATTTGTGTTCATCTTAAATATGTTCAGTTCTAGTACTAATAGTCTGAATAGATCCCTAAAGTAGAAAATAAGTTAAATAGAAGCCTTCCTGAATGTTATGAGAGTTACAGCATGCTTGTATTAAGGAAATTATTGTTGTTTTTGTAGCGTGGAGCCATTCGGCCAGTAGGAAACAGTGAGAATTCATTGTTACTACCCCTGTGTAGTTCAACACTCACAGTTTTAAGATGGTTGTTGAGACAGATGAGGCATAATGAGAGCAGAACACTTCTTTTGCAGTAGGCTGGAAGTCCTTGTTGGATAATAAAGCGTGCTTATTTTCATGTGGAACGTCAACAGAAGCAATACTGCACTACGCATGGAGCGCAGTGAATTTTTGTCTGTCTTGTTTTGAAGCTGCTCAGAGTGTTAGTTCTTGGTTGGTTTGGTGAGTTTACTAAGTAATTAGATAAACTTTTAGATTTGCTGCTTGTTGCTTATATTTAATCTTTAGTTCCAGAAAGAGAATATAATTGCCTTTTGCTGTTTTCAAGACTAGCAACTTCACAGTCAAGATTTGCAGTTCAAAAAGAAAAATAAAGGCATTGTATGCATCATATTTTAACTTGAAAATTAAATTTAATCATAGCAACTTTCTAGAAGGAAAGTACACTTTTCTAAGCTACTTAATAAAAATACAAGTTTTTCTTTTTTTTTGTTTTAAGTGGGGCAGAAAACAAGCTTGGCTGAACAGAGAACTCCATGGAGCTCAAGAGGAAAAAGAAATTGTATGATCTTTGCAGGTGAGGTCAGGCTTTGCAGGAACAGTACAGAGCTGTGGTTTGTTTATACAGGGAAAAGACACGAAAGGCCAAAGCTCTAGACTTGAAACTGGCCAGTGTTGTTTCAGGTAACAAGAAGGGCTTTTTAAAGTATGTTAATAGCAAGAGGAGGTCTAAAGAACACATTGGACCAATACTTGTTGAAGATCGTTAACTGACTAACAGGGATGCAGAAAAAGTGGAGGCATTCAATGTGGTTTTTGCCTCTCTCTTTAATAATACTGATAGACCTTGGGCTGTCTGGTCCCCTGCGTCAGAGGACCACAAGTTTGGGGACACTGACTTTCCATTTGTGGACACTGAAATTGTAAGAGACCAGTGTATCAGCTGAATGTTCACAAGTCCATGGGGCCTGATGGGATTTGTCCCAGAGTACTGAAGTAGCTAATGGATGTTATGGCAGGAACCCTCTTAATCATCTACCAAAGGTCTTGAGAGTCTGGGGATGTCCCTGCTGACTGGAAGCTAGCCAGTGTTACGCCAATCTACCCAAAGGGTGTGAGGGAAGACCCAGGGAAGTACAGACCTGTCAGTCTAACCTCAGTTCCTGAAAAAAATTGCTGAGAAGATTATACTGGGTACTATTGAAAGGCATTTAAAGAATAATACAGTCACCGAGCACAGTCAACATGCATTCACAAAATGACAGTCCTGTTTCACTAATTTGGTATCCTCTGTGATAAGGTCACTGGCCTAGTGGTTGAAGGGAAGGTGGTGGATGTAGGTTTTCTGGATTTTAGTAAGGCTTTTGATACTGTCCCTCACAGCATCCTTCTGGACAAGTTGTCCAGCTGTGGGATGAGTGGGTTCATGGTGCGCTGGGTGAAGAACTGGCTGAAGGGCAGAGCTCAAAGGGTTGTAGTGAGCAGGGTTACATCTGGCTGGTGACCGGTCACCAATGGTGTTCCTCAGGGTTCAGTTCTAGGGCCAGTTCTGTTCAATATATTTATCAACAATCTGGATGCTGGAGTTGAATGCACCATTAGCAAATTTGCAGATGATACCAAACGGGGAGGTCCTGTTGACTCTTGAGGGACAAGATGCCTTGCAGAGGGATCTAGATAGATTGGAGCATTGGACAATGATTAATGGGATGAAATTTAGCAAGTCTAAATGCCGGATTCTGCACCTGGGTTGGAGTAACGCTGGGCACAAGCATAAATTGGGAGAGGAGTGGTGGGAGAGCAGCCCTGCAGAAGGGGATCTGGGGGTACAGGTTGACAGCAGGCTCAATGTGAGTCAGCAGTGTGCCCTGGCAGCCGCATCCTGGGGCGCATCAAATGCAGTATGACCAGCTGGTCAAAAGAGGTGATTGTCTGGCTGTATTCAGCATTGGTGCGGCCTCACCTGGAGTACTGTGTGCAGTTCTGGGCCCCACACTTTAAATGGTCCTTGAATGTGTCCAGAGGAGGGCAGCAAAGCCGGTGAAAGGGCTGGAAGGCATGTCCTGTGAGGAGTGGCTAAGGATTCGCATTTGTCTAGTTTGGAGAAAAGGAGGCTGAGGGGAGACCGATTGCTCTCTACAGCTTCCTGAGGAGGGGAAGTGGAGAAGGAGGTGCTGAGCTCTTCTCCCTGGGATCCAGTCATAGGACATGTGGGAATGGTTCAAAGCTGCGCCAGGGGAGGTTTAGACTGGACATGAGGTATTTCTTTATCAAGAGGGTGGTCAAACACTGGAACTGGCTTTCTAGAGAGGTGGTCGATGCCCCAAGCCTGTCAGTGGCATTTTGTAACTTCTGGTCAGTCCTGAAGTGGTCAGACAGTTGGGATAGATGATTGTTGTAGGTCCCTCCCAACTGAAATAGTCTAGTCTATGCTATGCTATGCTATGCTATTTTTTTTTCTTAAGTTAGACTAGTCATCTGAAAGCAGTAACCATTTGAAAGAATTTTAGGTTGCACAAAAAGTAATCCTCTGTATGTTCTTCTGTGCGATGCTGAGGTTATAGTGACAAACATAAGTTAAAGACACATTATTTCCTTTATTTTGTAAGAAGTTGTTAATTTTAAACTACACATTTTTTTGTTATTATTGTTGTTACTATTATTTTGGAATAAAACATCACTCAGACATCTTTATTTTCGGAATCTGTTGCTACATAGTCTGTTTATAAAAAGCTTTTTATAACAGGAAAGTATGGATAGGTGAAAAATATGTTGATTAATTTTTGTTTGATAGAATTGTGATGAAGATCAGAAATTGTGACAAAGATCAGTATGCCAAGAAAACAGTATTCTTAAACATACTTGAAAGATTGAGCTTACTAGCCTATAAGAATTAAAATTCTTAAGCTTTCTTTGAGAACAAAGATCAACTACAGCAAAGAATTATGCAGTAGAAGCTGATGGCATTAAACTGTTCAAAGTGTTGCATATGCCCCTTAAGTGTACACCCAAACAGAACCAAAAAGTATAGCATAATACAGCAAATTAGAGCAGAATAGAAATGGATAATTTTTTTAAAAAATTGATATGGGTATATAGTTGCTTTTTTAGGAGGCCAAGTTATAAAGAACATTTTTTGAAATTAATGTAATGGAATGTTTATTCAGTTTGGTAGTAAGAAGTGTGTCTTTCCATTTGCAGGGTATAATTACAGTAACGTTTGAAGTTCCAGGAAATATAAAAGAAGAAAACTTAAATCTCTTTATTCAGGTAAGTAATATGTCACTGTCAACTGAAAAATCATTGTGGCTTTTTATAGAAAATTGTCACATGCCATTCTCTTTATGAAAACATTTTTCCTTTTCATAGAATCTTCTGTGGGAGAAGAATGTGAAAGATAAGACTGGACGCACCATGGACGTTATAAGACTGAAGGTTAGTCAGAAATGACCAAATTGTTTTGTGCTTTTCCTCTTTTACAGCTAAAAAACTGCAGTGTGCTGTCAGTTACAGACCTATCAAAGGTGCTACTGGATCACTGTAGCAGAACAGACAAAAGAGAGAATAGAAATTTGTCATTGTTCCATGTAGAGATAGTTTCTTATCTGCTGGCTGGTGGAAGAACTCAAAAGGAGATCGCTGACAGAGAAGCAAACATTGATCCTACTTGTTTTGAATTGAGAGGGAAGATGTACGGTTCTAAACTTCAGTGGCAGAGTTAATAATCAGGACATAGTTAAAACACTTCTTCATTTTTCACCTCCATTGCTTTGAAAGGTTCCATCCATGTCACATAAATGTCTCCTTATCTAGGGATGTAACTATAGATTGCTCTCCATAATTATGATTGTTGGAATATATGCAGAAGCTGAATTTGGCATAACATAGCAGTGCAATACTAGTTGTGATCTACACTTAGAACTTTTTACAGTATTGTGAGACTGTAGTTTTAAAGATGCAGTCCATAAGTATTCATCTTCATGGGCACTTTGTATGTTTTTCAGCTGCATGATTTTGTGAGGAGTATAGGTGACAATTTAGGATATATTTTCATTTTCCTATACCAAGCAGCCAAGTAAATAATTAAAAAATGAGAACCAAGTGTCATTTGGTAAGCTGTAAGAAATACAGGAAAGTACTCTCTGGTTTGTATTCTGAGAACACTTTTGCGTCATGGATAGTGATGTAATTATTTTCATTTCATTGGAAGAAAGGTTGTATTCTTGCTCTTTCAGCAACAAAATGAGAATATCCTTGTCTTCCTCTTCCTGACAAATAGAAAAAAAGTAGCCACTGATGCATCTTAAGCTGTCTGAAAACAGTACTGCTATGCACAAGTACATTTTTGTTGTATTGAGCATTGGAATCAAAGTAATTCTTTAGGAGATCTGTGGCCTGTGATAATATGTGCACTGGCCCTCAGTCACAGACAAATATACCAAAGCAAATGAACCCCAGGTAATTACAGAATGGGCTCCAAAGTTTGTTGCTTTTGTATTTCTCTTTTACCTGCAGTCATAATCCTTTTAGCAGTGATAGTCACAGAATTCCAACTAATATGCCAAATGCAGACCTTTTTTCATGAAATATTTTTAACTTTTTTTTTTTTTTTTTTTTTTCCTTTTCTTTACGGAAGTATGAGACATGTTTTACAGGTTGTGTTCCACTAGAATATTTTATAAATTTTTTCATGCAGTGATGGAAAGTCTGTTAATACAATTTTCAGTTTCTGGGTTAATGGGCTCGCTCTGACAGTAATAGCTTCTAATTCTGTTGCTAGTCATTTTACCTCACAAATGTTTGTTCTTTCGCCAGTATTCAAAGATTCTCTTCCAGAATAATGAAAATGCTGAGCAGAAGAGCTTAATCAGAATAATATAAAATCAAACATTTTTGCTCATTTTACATCATCTTTGATAGGCAATCAATCTTTTGTAGACACACACATCATACACCATACATATATTCAAAGTGGCATAGTAGCAGATGGCTATTTTTGCTCAGACATGCTAGAAACCGACCAAATGAGGAGCAGAAGGCAGAGTATGGAAAAGTCTAATTAGTAGTTTTTTAAAAAATAAGGAGATGTGAGAATGGATGTGACGAGTAGAAGTGATCATACTGCATTGTTATTTTGACTATTTGGTGCATAGTTGCCAGGAACATTTAATTTTTAAAGGTTTGTTTATGTATCCTAACAGTTATTTTTTCTGATAAGGGACTGGTATCTGTTCAAGGCAAGTCTCATCAGGTGATAGTCCAAGGTGTCCATGAGCTCTATGATCTAGAAGAGACTGCAGTAGCCTGGAAAGAAGACGAAAAGAGAACAAATAGACTGGTCCTAATAGGTAGGAGGGAATTACCCTTGTATCTCCTTGTTTGACTTTAAGAAGCTGTTCTTTCAGCATGCAGTCCTGTGACTTGCATGTGAAAAGCAACCAGCCTGAACTGGCCAGAATAATAGCATTATGTTTAGCATAACCTTCAGTCAAAGATTTATCCATGAAGACCTCCAGCAGTTTTATATTCCAGCTGAGAGGAATCTACACTATCCCTTTTAGGGAAATACAATAAAATAAAACAAAATAAAATAAAAACCTATGTATTCCTAACTTATGTTGGTATATTTAATGTTATTTTTAAAATCCATAATTAGAAATGTGGTGATAGGAATGGTTTGAATGTTGATCAAATATTCAGTAAGTTTAAGGAAGGTGATTATAGCCATTAAAATATATAAAATCGGGGTATTTTCCTGAAAAGCTTGTGATGCTGAAGTTGTACATTTCTTATTTCCTGTGTGTTATTCTTTGCTTTGCAAAGTGTTTTTATTACCAAAAAAAGGCCCCTATTTTTCCTCCTTTCCCTTACTTGTACAGCTTGAAGTCTGTTGTTGCCTGTAAAATCTAAAGTTGTCTTGTTACCTGCAGCTTAATTTTAATACTGGTCTGTTTTCACTCATTGGTATAATAAACATTTCCTTTGCTGAGAAGACTTGCAGGTTGCTACTTGCATGCTTTTTTGTAATACACTGTAAAATATAATTAGCTAATTTATTTCTCTTTACAGGCAGGAACTTGGATAAGGAGACCATCAAAGAAGTATTCATAACCACTGTGAGAGAGCAACAAGGAAACAGTTGACATCAAACTACAAAAACATGAAATGTCTCTTAACCCTGCAAGCTTTTTATGACAGAAAAGACTGAATTGACATGCAGTATAGTAGTTTCTTTTTCCTCTTGCAGTTCACACAACAGTTAAACCCTGGAGGAGTCCTAAGAATCCCAGCTGACCTACTGTTTAAAGATTAGCTCTTATGGTCTAGAATAAAACACGAAGAATTCTACCATTTTGGCTTTGGCTGAAGTTATGTCAGTAACATCGTTTACGTGTGCAGAAATGCAGATAGGCAAAAGACTTGTTTATGCTGTACATGAAGTATTACAGTAGGAATATGGTGAACGTATTTGAAGTCTAGTGCTTTCTCCAACTAACTCTCTTCTACTCCTGGAAATGGAGTAACAGTGATTATTGCCAGCAATGTATCACAGTGAAGAGTATTTAGTGTTTACTATTAAACTGTCTTCCATCTCTTTCCACTTGTTTTGTGATTTTTGAATGTATACATCCATCCCACATACTGCTAAACCTGTTGTATAAATGAAACTAAAAGTACATAGATAGCAGAAGCTCAAGACCACATGGAATATGCTGTCTACATAATAGCTGTGTCACTTGTCACCTACCTAACATTTGCTTTAGGATAAAAGGTGCATCAAACTAAAAAAAAAAAAAAGAAAGAAAGGAGGCCGTTCCCTTATCAGCCATCTTAAAAAAATTCTTTTTTCTTCTGCTAGAAGAAATGAGTTTGTAGTGTGTTTCCAAAGAGCTGAGGAAAGAGACATTGTTAATCTTCCACTGCCAGGAGCTGGTGTGTTGTTTGATTAATACATGAAGTCCTGGGTCCAATACCATAGAGCTTTTCAGTCTCCCAGTGGATACATTACCAGACATGACTTAATTCCTCACATCTTAAGTAGTTTAGATAGCTTGAAGAAGTTTCCAGAAATTAACTATTTCTGTAAACTAAGGCAAGGTAAAAAGAAAGAACAATCTACTTACAATGTTGCTTTCTGCTTAGAGGAGGATTGGTGGCATTTGAGTGAGATGGATATATTGTTGAGTGACATTGTGATAGTTTCCCTTAGCATTTGCATGCCTTCATTTTGAAAACTAATACATATTCTCACACTGATACATGTTTTAGATTGAATAAATGACACTTAGTCCCGCATGAAAATTAGTCAAATGATGGCCATCAGTGTTATGGATTGAGTTATAAACATCATGTAAATGCAAAATTGTGGATAATACGTTTGTATTTGTTGCTGCTTGTACTTCCATTCTTCATAGGGAAAGCAATCAAATACCTTTTATCTTATAAATGCCTCATGTAACTGAAGAGCTCTGTTATCTTTAGAAAGCTTACTCTCTGAAGTGCCCAACTGATCATTCATTTTCCATTTCAAAAAAATGTTCAGAGATTTAATGAGAGCTTCAACCATGAGTCATAAGGGAACAAACCATGGATGTCTTACACACTTACTGTCATATTTTAGATGCTTATTTTTTATATTTGCTCACCAACCACATACTCTAAAAACCCCCCAACAACTGTCAGTAGTATACTGGGGGGGTGGTGGTGGTGGTGTTGCTGTTAGTGGGTCGTCTCTGCAGCTGGGAATCTTCTGTATAGCTCATCTTGCTATTACTCATTCTTCCTCTGCAGGACTTTCCCCGCACTGCTCACAGAGGTAGTGTCAGAGAAGCTTTAGTCTCTGTGTGCAGCTCGCTCTGTCCTCTTGTGTATTTCCAGGGAGCCCCTGGAACAGAGAGCAGCTCCCAGGCAGGATGAGGATGTGCACCTCTCCATCCTTGCTGGTTGTCAGGATGCCTGCTCTGCCTTGTCTTCTGTTATTCTGTTCACACATAGCGACACTAGTAATACAGCCAAGGGCTGGCTCTTTATCCTCTTCTCCGAAGAAGATTACTGTTTTGTTTTCTTGGGTATTTATTTAACTGACTTTTTCTGGTCTGTTGTTACACGTCCAGCCTGGGGCAGTAAGTCTTGTTCTTGCATCATGCCAAAATGGAAAGAGGAAAGGTAAGTGACAGAGCTCCAGGAAAAGCTGCCCTTAGTGAGCTGATTGCTGGATGCTTTTGGTATTTATGGTACTGGCAGTTGTATCAAGGATGCCCTTCTCCAAGGAACTGGAACTAGGTTAGAGTGAGGTTGTGCAGGAGGCTGCAGGGAGCAGGCGGGTGCCGCTCAGCCCTGTCCTGGGGTGGCAGTGGCATGGATGGTGGGGTGGCTGAGGGATGCTTGGGGCGGGGGGGAGCGAGGAGGGGTCTGGTGAGGAAAAGCATTAGCATTTCTCTCCATACAGGTGCCAAGAGAGGCACAGCAGGGAGCGAGCTGCACCTTCTCATGAGGAAATGGTGGCCGTCACAGCTGCAGGGCAGCCATTCGCGTCCGGGCCCACCTCTGAGCCAAAACAACTCCCAGGATAACAACGCTTCACTCCCCCCTCCAGGACATGCTAAGCACTACATACGTGCCAGGCATCGATCTTGTTAAGAAAAACCTTGCATTTTCTTCCCTAGCAGAGGCAGAGGAGTTTCTTTCCTAGAGGCAAATTGCAATGATCTGATTACCTCTGTGCCCTCATGAACATCAGATGTCTACAGAAATTGCCTTTCCAAACCAGCATTTTCTCCACTGTATTCTTCTTTCCACGTTGTTATAAGCTCTGTTAAACTCGAAAATAAACGAGAGAGATGGTCTCCCTCCTTGCAGTAACCATCGTGCCATTTGTTTATATCACCTGTTGTGTTTAATTTTCAGCAATTACCCAGAGAGATGGATGAGGTTTAATTTTTCTGGTTTATGATGCCTTTTAAAATTTAAGCAGTTCTGAATTTGCTAGATTTTCACTAGATTCTTACTTTCTAATCCTGAAGTATAATGACCTCCCTCGGTGCCCTCCTGCCGCTCCAGGGTGGGGTGGGGGTGGGGGGGTGGTCACCCATGTCCCATCCCGTCCCCCGTGGGCAGGACGTGGCCGGATGGGACAGGACAGGTCGGGTTGGGGTCCCAACCGCCTGCTGTCCCCATGAGCCACCCTGCTCCCAGTCAGCCCGGCCGCCCTGCAGAGCCCGCAGCGGCGGCATCCGTGCCTCCAGCCAGGGCGCTTCCCCTGCTACCGGGAGCGCTGGCCCGAGCAGCATCCATCGTTTCTTCTTCCTTCCTCTCAGATCCAGCTGAGCATCAAAAAACGGGTAGATAGAATCATAGAATCATAGAACCATAGAATCGTTTAGGTTGGGAAAAACGC